TGGCAGAGCAGTGGCAGATTAGGAGATAGGAAATTATTGCCTACTTCTCGGGCTTAAATTGGCGGTGTTGTCCAGCCCTTGGGGGCCACCACAGGTCACGTTTTGCTAATCGGAACCGTTGAACATGTAGAACTTGTCGAGTACTATGTGCTTATAAAAATCATGGTGATTGGATATCGATAACTATCTGATCGTATTAGTTTTTTTGTTAATTGCTAAATATAACACCATCCATTTTTTATACTAAACTAATTTGATCATATAGTTAGCGATATCCGATTAACGTGATTTTTCATAAGCATATAGTACTTGACAATTTCTATACATTGACGGTTCAGATTATCAAAAAGAGATCTGTGATAGCCTCCACTGGCCCAATATTATCCTCCAATTTAATGAATAAATATACTTTTTTGTTTTTTTTACCCCATTAACAGCCCAATAAAGTGCACTGTCACCACGGGTACCACCAGTCAAGTCTTTGTATGGTAATATTGTGTAAATTAATATTTTTATATTTTTAATTAGTGAATAGTGATAACTTTTTAACTTTTTAGATTTTTTATAAATTGTCAAACTTGACCTAAATGTCTTTAAATAGAGATGGACCAATTTACCAGGCCAAAGTTTAAAATAAAAAATTTGTTTTTTAAAAAGTAGGTAAAACCCTAATTTGTAATATTTTATATATATATATACATGTATAATTTTCCTTTTTGTGCCTTTGGGCTTACAACCCAAAATTCAGCCCGTACGAAAGTCCACGGAATGACCAGAATTTTGGCCCAAGGGCAAGATGAAAATTTTAGCACAAAATATATAAATAAAATAAAAAAATTAAGAGCTAATTTATAGGAAAAGTATCTAAACAGGAAAAGTATCTAAGCCCACCATTGGCCAAAAAAATCTTCTTCTATATTTATATTTAACACACGATTAAAAAAAATTCATATTTTCATTTTTATTTTTATTTTTCCAAAATAAAAATAAAATTAATAATTGTTAAAAACTTAACTATTGAATATATGTATTTAAAAAAAAATAGCAGTGTTTAGAAACACCTAAAAAAGCCACATATTTTTTTTGAATTTTTTTTTTGCCTTTAGTGATTTTTTTTCAAAATTTTGTCAATATTTACTTTTTTTGGTCCGTCTTGTGTAGACGAATTTAAAAAAAAAAATTCAAAAAAAAATTCAAAAAATTAAAATAAGCCAAAAAAGTCTAGTATTATTATTATTGTTGTTGTTGTTGTTTATTTTGGACTTGTTTGGACCATTTTCATTTTTTTTTATTTTTAATTCATTGAATTGAATTGAATCTATAAAAAAAAATTACTAAGCAAAGTATATGTTCTTTGGGAAAATTAGTCTAAGGTCCCTCTCCCACTTTTAGTAATGAGAAAGGTCCACGATTTTTTTTTTTTTATAGTCTAAGGTCCCTTCATATATCACGCTGAGTCTCTCATTCACTCTCTCTCTCTGTCTCTCTCTCGCCAAACCCTTCGTCTCTCTTCTTTCTTCGTTACATCCATGGCAGAGAGATTAGGGGTTTGGCTCGACGGCGACGATCACCAACACTTCTGCTAAAGATTTTCTCACTGTTGTTGCGACCGATTCCATCTCCATTCTCGTTGAAGCTGTTACAAAGAAGTTTCTAGAACTCTATGGAGAACATATGGATCTTGCATCAACAACAGCGATGTGAACGACATGTTCACCCAGGCGCCTTCCTTCGGGATCAAATCCAGCTCCGGCAAGGTTGACGCATCACAACCAGCCCAAGTGTTTGAGAAAAAGTTTAAGAGACATAAAGAGCTTCTCAAGAACCTCACTGAAGCTACTGTGTAGCCCAACTGTTCAAGTGTTATGAATTTTCAATCTATGGTACTTTCTGTTTGCACCAGTAACACAAATAATTAGTTGGTAATACAAATAAACAATGATGAACAACTATGAGAGAGAGGATTTTTTTCTTCCCCTTCTATTTTTCACTCTCATTGTGCTGTTTACATTGTGAATTCTTGTTGTGATGCTTTGTGTTGGCTTTTTGATCAATTTTCTCTGGTTAAGTCAAAACACAATTTTCTTTGGTTCAGTCAAAATGCAGAGAAAATTGAGAATAAATCAAAGAAAATTTTAATCTCTTTCTTTCAACTTAATTATTTTGTCTGACACTGGACCGTCTTCGTTTAGAAATCCATTTGAGTGTTCGAATACCCAACATTTTTCATCTCACGAACAAGTTCACATTTTGTTTGTAGGTTCCTTATCTATATTTTGGAATACAGTACCTTCTCAAATGTAATCACGTGTTACTTATGCAGGTACTCTTTTGAATATTTAGATAGGGTTGAGATAATAGTTGCCCATATGGTGGGTGGAGTTGATGCTTCCCTTAAGATGTCTCAAGGTTGGCCAGATGGAGAACTCTACAATTGTTCTAGAAATGTAACTTGAAACGTGTATAGAAACATGCATATTCATCTTCCACTCTTTAACTTCCCTGTAGCATGCATGAATCAAGTTTAATTTTAAAAATAAATAAATCTAGTGAGGTTTGAATTTAAAACAAATTAGATTAATTTTTACTAAATAGGATTAGATTTGTGCAGACTTGACAGTCAATTTTGATAATCTATCATTGTTTCTGGTTAATAAAATTTTTATTTATTTATAGTTATTCTTGAAAACCCATCATTGGACCTTCTTCAGTTCAAGAAAAACATTAGCTTCATTTCATACAATCCATGAAAGCCTAGCTACATATGCTATAACAGAATCATATAACTTTCCCATAGTGGATATGCCAATTAATTCTTTTCACTATATACTATGATTCAATTTATGATTCTGCTGATTGTCTTCAAACTCAGAGAAATTTCAATTTTCTTTGGTTTGAACCCAGGGAAATTCTCTACATGTAATTTTGTGAATTTTCTCTGGATGTGGCGGCGGAGGAAGAGGAGGAAGAGACTCGTCGTCATCATTGACAGCATTGAGATCAATCAAACCACACATCTTTGTGGGGAAATTTTCTAAAAGAAAAGAAACTGTGGAATTGAAAAGAAATGGAGAAGAGATTGAAATTTGTTCATATATACAAATATAGATATACTGTGAGCAAATCAAATTAAATTTTCTCTGGACTGTGTGAATTTTCTCTGAATGTGGGAACTGCGTGAATTTTCTCTGGTTGTGATCATTGTTTGTAATTTTGTGAATTTTCTCTGACTGTATAAAATTTCTCTGGTTGTATGAATTTTCTCTAGTTGTATGAAATTTCTCTAGTTGTGATCACTGTGTGAATTTTTTTTTTCATTTGAAGTTGAAACCAGAGAAATTCTCTGATTTTTTAACTGAATTTTCTCTAGGTTGAAACCAGAGAAATTCTCTGATTTTTTAACTAAATTTTATCAGGGTCCAGAATTTCTCTGGACTAATTTTCTCTGTGACGTGAGATGATGACAATGGTCATGATCCGGCGCTGAAGAAGTTGCAGAACTCTCCCATTAATGGAAGACTGAAGCAGAAATATAAAGGCCACGAATTGTATACGAAACACAATGGTAGAAAGAATTTTGAATTTACAACCAATACATTGTTTTTTCTTAGGAATTGGGAAGAACTTGCATCAGGTGATAAAAGGGAAGGGGGAAAAAAAAAAAATCATTCGTAAACTTCTTCAAGATAAAAAAGACATTTCTTGATTATCAGTGCACAAACATTCACCAAAAACATGCATGGTGTATGTGTGGCTCCCTCTGCATAAAATTTTGAGAATAATTAGATTTTCCAGAGAAATTTGGACTGAAATTTTTCTGAACCAATTTTCTCTGGACTGAAATTTCTCTACACCAATTTTCTCTGGACTGAAATTTCTCTGAATCAAGATTGAGGGACCTTAGACATTATGAAAATATTGTTGATGGACCTTAGATATCATAAAAATATTTGATGTCCTTTATGCTATAAAATCATAATATCAAGGACCTTAAAAAAAACCCCATGTTCTTTTCTATATAATCCCTATCTTTGAGGATATAAGAATTATAAGCAGAGCATATATTCTTTTGTGGAAAATGTTAACCATTTTCATTTTTTTTTAATTTTTAATTCATCTCATTGAATTGAATCTATATAAAAAAAAAATTACTAAGCAAAGTATATGTTCTTTTCTATATAATCCCTATCTTGGATATAATCCCTATCTTGGAGGATATAAGAATTATAAGCAGAGCATATATTCTTTTGTAGAAAATGTTAACCATTTTCATTTTTTTTTAATTTTTAATTCATCTCATCTCATTGAATCTATAAAAAAAAAAAAATTACTAAGCAAAGTATATGTTCTTTTCTATATAATCCCTATCTTGGAGGATATAAGAATTATAAGCAGAGCATTATATTCTTTTGTTGAAAAAGTTAAACATCCCAAAATATTTTAAATATTTATTAAAATTTTTAAGTAAATTCCATTTTGCTCCATTTATATTTATCTTTGGTCCATCATCACTTCAAGAAAGGTATAATCCTTATCTTATCTTTTTTCCATCATCACTTCAAGAAAGGTCGTATTCATGTAGGGTACCCCTCTTTCGTTCCATCTTAAATTTTCTGAGATTCCCGAGTTTCCTCCTCATCTGATCATCAAACGAAGGTAATGCCTACCAACAAATTTTCTCTCAATTTTCATTTGTGACATTTATATATTCAGTCTCACATATATTTTACATTTATCTGATTTTTTTTTTTTTTTTTTACAATTTGGATTTTACCTATATCTTAATAAACGTTTTGCTATGGTTGCTCTTGTGAGTTCTCTGATCTTCTCGTGCATATATTTGGGTTTTGATTATCTGGGTCTCTTTCTTTTTTATCAAATTTTAGACCCTTTTGAGTGTTTGCACTAATTTTGATATTTAGGTTATTTAAGATTTCTGTAATTATGGTTGACCTTATAGCATCTCCAACGGCTAACTATTTTTTTCATCAAATCTGAGGAAAAAAAAGGCGATTTCCTCAATCTAATACAAGGTGCTCCAACGGTTGCACTGTAGGTTGCATCAAAAGACTGGGGACGTCCGGTGGGACTGACCGGACGACAGGCCGGCCGGTCAGTCAGTCAGTCAAGGGACTGAAAGTTATTTTTTCCCCCTCCACAGCACTGCACAACATAGAGATAGATTACTTTGCAACAGTGGGATTAGCATCTGCAAGTAAAGAGGAGAATCAAACTGTTAGCAAATTAAAAGAGGTCCCTGTGTCTTTTCAATCACCTGACCAATATGTGGACATTTTCCGACCATTGGTATTGGAAGAGTTTAAAGCACAGTTGCATAGTTCCTTTCCGGAGATTACTTCTTCAGAAGAGATGAGTTGTGGCAGTCTATCTGTGTTGTCAGTTGAGAGAATTGATGATTTTCATCTTGTTCGCTGTGTCCATGATGATGATGTTCCTGCAGGATGTAGAAGCTGTTCAGAAAATGACCTCATTTTGCTTACAAGACAGCCTCTGCAAAATTCTTCACATGATGTTCACATGGTTGGAAAGGTATGTAATTTATTAATTTATGCTGTTTGTAACATTCAAGACATTAATTGGGTATAAAAAGAACTTACCTGGTGTAATCGAGGGTGCTAGTAGGGGTGGAGTGTGTATGGACCCAAACTATGGGATATAGTCTAAAGTGGTTACCTTGAGACTTGAACAAATATTCTCTTGCTTGGCAGTCCAAACACCTCTAATTGTCTCTTACAAATATGCAAATGAGTCTATATGAAAGATTTAATCTATAACATGTATAGATAAAAGGAAAGAATAAATTGTGTATTGATAGATGTATTAAATGTTGTGTTGAGCTCTCTCCTTTATAGAGGAGAGAGAGAACAATTACAAACCTAAAGTAGAAGCACAAACCAAACAACATTATTAAAGGTACATTATTAAAGCATACTAATTATTATACTAACCTAATTATTAAAGCAACACTTTACATATTATATTCTAACAGCCCCCCTCAAACTCAAGGAGGATAGGAACCAACCAACTTGAGTTTGGAGAGAGTAGAAAAATAAAATAAAATAAAATAGGATAGGAGACACTGTATGGTGGTGTCAAATCGTTGTTGAAGACACGGTATGGTCGTGTCAGACCGTTGTAGCAGGACAGTTTACGAGGTCATGCCGGACCGATGTAGCAGACACTGTGTGGTCGTGTCAGACCGTTGTTGTAGAAGCTAATCGGAATCAATGTCGGGACAGTTTATGGGGTCATGTCGGACCGTTGGAAAAGTCGCACCCTCAAAAGGCGTGCCCAATCTTTCAAAAGGCGTGCCATCAAAAGGCGAGCCCAAGTCATAAAAAGATGTGCCGGACATGATGGCGAGGCACGTCACCACAGTGGCTTGCGCGCTCGTTTTGTCGTCTGGCGTCAAGTGGCGCGCGATGCGCGTGTCTGCCTTGGCTATTTAACCAAGACGGATGCTGAGGCTGAGGCAGAGGCTAAGACAAAAAACTGGCAAAAAACCTCTGAGAAACTTTTCGTTGTCTTGAGAGAGATACTCTGTAACACTCTGTAACCAACCCTTCTCTGAAACACTCAGCAACCCATAACATGGCCTCTTCGTCCCGTAGTCTGTTCACTCTCTTTCCCGACCTCAACGAGTCCACAAGAGAGGTAACTGGTGCGATTGCCCGTGAACCTCAACCAAGCGCCCCTGAGTTTGCTCCGTTGACCTTTCCTATGCGGTCTGTGGAGCAAAGAATGGCAGCGGCCTAAGATGACTGAGTCCGAGAAGATAAGAGTTTACCGAGATTATGTTTAACACTTGTTGAAACTTGAGAAAAGTTTACAAGTTGAAGTTAAACCGAGATGATGTTTAACACTTGTTGAAACTTAAAAAGTTTACAAGTTGAAGTTAAACCGAAATAATG